AGTTCCATAGTTTAGCACCTCTATAGTTAAAACTGCGCTTTAGAAATTCAGTTTTGGGGTGAGGTAGGCATAGTTTTGAAGTACATGCCTTTTGCAATACTGAACATGTTGGTAAAAATGTTAGTTAGTTCATGTCCTACTCTATCGACAACGTTATAATCAAATAAACAGCACTATATCTACTWATTCTTGTCAGGTTAATGCAATTCTGGACATTTTATTCCGGAAAGCTTCGGTTTCGTGCTAGAAGTTGCATAATGCAGTCGATAATGCAAATGATAACTAAACAATCACGGCTAATTACTTTCGGATATTAGTTGGGCATATAATGAATGTAGCTGAGACAAATTTTCTTTGAATGTAAAAATGAAATACAACAACGATCGYTCCATCTGTACCCTAGGTTACCTTACGTCTTGAATAAACACTATAATATCCATTTAATGACTGGTTGTAAGCGATGTGTCTGTTCCCCTGGACGACTGCTGAAACCGGCTATTGGATAGAGTAGAGCCTCATATCACACTCATCGAAGAAAGTAGCATTGTAATCATGGCAACGAATTGGGGTTTTCAAAGACTTCGAGTTTTACCCATGTTCTTGAAGAGAATAAGAAGTAGAAACACAAGTCATTCCAGCTATTCTTGGATCTTGGAATGACCTATCCCCTATCGCTTTTCACCTATCGCCTATCGCCTATTGCCTTTGGCAATAACAACCTTTTTTGAAATAGGTATATCCCTTACCGGCTTCGATTTTGGCAGACGGTAGTGGGGAACTGGGAAGAAAGGGCGGTAAATCATTCCCTTGAATATTAATTCTTTCTTACACAACGGTTGAATGATCACCTAATGCTTATTTATGACAAAAAACCAAATTGAGATTGTAATTTGAAATTGAAATTTGGGTTTTAAAAAAGCTTGTGGGAAAGTTAAAACGCTAAAAAAACAGTCCGAATTTCCCCTTTTCCCACACTTCAAAATTTTAAGCTAACTTTTGAACTAAACAGAAGCTACCAAAAGAGATTTGTCCTTAATATTTATTCTATATTATTTTCTATAGAATGAAAGCTAATAAAATCTAAAACTCAGATTTTTTTTTTTTTTTTTTGCTTTGCTTTTTTTGCTGTCCCTCCGATTTCAGATTTCCGACCGACGTTTTTTGAAATAGGTGTATTACTTGTCACTATCCTTACGTATGGGTTGAGTAGGATCTGCTATCGTTACCATGGATACCAGTTACAATTTCAAGCAAAAAACAGCACTCACCACTTTCCATGCTGCAGTCCACGCAAAACCTTTCGATTTAGACCGAGTGTCATGTTTTCCCATTTCAGACCACTTGCCATTCTCTTAAGTATAAGATTCTTTTGAGTTGTATCCATACTCATGTGTCTTCTCATGTGCAACTGTTAAACAAAAAGGTGATACTGTAGGGAATGACATGTGATCTGAAATGGGCAAGCATTATTACCTAGCTAAACAGTGAACTTATGTATGTATAACTTATGTGCTGTTAAAGGGTTTTCATTCSCTGGGCATTAATGCTAGTCGTATTGCCCTGCCCTGCCCTCCCACACACCTCCCCAACCCCTACCCTAGCCTACCCTCCCAAACATCCTCCTCTCACCAATGTTGAGTTCTCACTGGAGGTAAGTGGTTAAAGCCCCTGCATGCCCAACACAGGAGTAGAGTGTGTGCAACTGGAACAGCAAAATGAAAGTTCACTCTCACAATTAAATGCTTTTACAGGAAAATATTTTATTTTTCTTAACATAAACTCTTTCCTTACATCATTTCTGAGCCAATATAGGTCGGCACACGTCTACAGTGGTGGTAATGGCGGGGGATGGGGGGGATAGGAGGAAGCCATCATTTCTTTTACCTTATTACATAAGGTTTATACTATTTTCAAGATACGTTTTACTATCAAGATATTATTTTATTGAACTGCCAACAAAATTTCACTGCCAAACCAGGGGAACCAATTTATTTTCTTTCTGTTTCAAACATGTTTGATCCCTCAGCTGTTAGACCATTAGCGTGAACAAAGGTATCAATGTCGAAGCTCTTCCTCTCTTGGAAAGAAATCCCCTCTAGTTGTTTACTTTGCTTGAGAGCCAGGGTAATGTATCGGTGAAAGCCAGAACCTTTGGGAGGGCCAGGGGGATTGTATTCTATCAAAGAAAAATTTCTAAATTAATCCGCTGAAAGTAGAAAACCTGTGCCAAAATCATTTCTGAAATACATTTTTTGAAAGACATTCCCTTTTGCTATGGCAGTTGTGTCAAACCTTGCACATAAAAAACTGCACAATGTTATACCCACTTCGCTTGGAACAGGTGAGAGAGGAAAGAGAAATAAAGGAGAGGGGAAAAATGGGAGTGAAAGGGAAAATAAATGGGAATGAAAGGGAGGTTGTGATTGAAAAACCTAATATATTTCTGATAGCAATTAATATGGCCTAATATGTTACACTAATTCTACTTACCCATCACTATAGCATTTCCAGGGATATTGCCGTCTTTGAGGTCTTTTCCCTATTAAATGCAATGAAATTGATCCTTAGTGATTAAATTTGAGCCATACAATATGCCAAAATACTATGCTTTACAATGATGTGATCCCAGAAAAGTAAAAAAACGTAAAACATGGATAAGTGGAAATGTGGTATGAAGTGTACTGCATTATTATTGTTACAAGAGGTTATAGTTTTGTGTCATACCTYAACATTGACAGCCATAAAATGCAGCCAGCTTCTGAACTTAGGATTAGCATTTGATGGTGCATCTGGGTCAATCATTGTCAGGACATACATACTATCCTGTAACAAAACAAATCACTGTGTTTTTCACCTATTTTCATTTATGTRATTTTCAGGGCCATTTACATAGTTGCAGTTTCAAAATAACACTTTCAGTTTGACCCTGTTGAGTGTGCTGCTTGCAGTGTCAAATTCCCTGCTAGCAGAGCCTATTTTCCTTTTGTTTTGGTGGAGTGAGAAAAATAGACTCTGCCGRTGTAGGGCGTTATGCTTGTCATGCCTGTCATGATTTTGACAGCCRCTCTCATCAAACAACGTTTGGCACCACGTTGTGTTACATTTGCTAATGCGCACTACATGTACCTGGTTAAAAACTGGTTTTAAAACTGGTTTCGTTAGTCCACAATCGGAAAGGCTCTACATTGGCAGAGTCTCCCTCCTCCCTGCCTAAAAAAAGGGAGAGAAAGGGGAGAGACTCTGCTAGCAGGGAAAGTGTCCAATAAGCCTTTTCATAGTTTAAGAATCGATTCCACTGCGCATGCGATTTTATCCCGAACTTCTCACCTTCTTTTGTTTAATTAAGAACAAAAGAAGGTTTAGACAAAAGAAGGTGAGAAATTCGGGATAAAATCGCATGCGCAGTGGAATTGATTCTTAAACTATGAAAAGGCTTATAGCAATAACAAGTTTTTCAAGTAAAACTGTGACCATTAATGATTGCAGCCTCAATAGCACACACAGAATTGTCATAACAACAAAGTAGTTTTTGATGGGTGCCTCTCTTCTTATTTCAAGAATCAATCAATGAAAATTTGAAATCTTTTTTTCGTTGTGCAATACATAAATGAATTGGAATATCAATAATGGAATATGGAAACTTAATAACTGTTTTCAGTAGTACAAAAGCTATCATAAACCAAGTGCTCACACCTTCCTGCATAAACTAAGGCGACCAAAACAATAGCAATATTTAACAAATTTATACCACTGTTTTAAAAAATATTGTCATAAATATTTCATTAAAAAATCAGTTTTCCGTTTACCTTTGTTCTCTACCCAATTCTAAATACAGATAAAACAAACACTCAAAAAAAAGAAAAAAAAAAAAAAAAAAAAAAAAAATCAAGAGAAAAGAAAAAATCAGACGTAGACGCCATTTAGAATTTTTCATACGCAAGTTTTAAAGTTACGCTTCGTTTTCTATGGTTGAGCGATTGCCCCTCAATGGAAATTACTTCAAAAAGGAATTTAAAAAACCTCTTATTCCTAGTAGGCAGTGTRTAATTTCTACGACTTTTCTTGTTTTAGAAAATAAAAATCCCTTCTTACCTCGTCAGCTGCYGAAAAACTAAATTCTGGTTGCTCTGGATTCCCAACCTTACTCAACGGATATTTGTCTCCACATTTRATGTCAGTCCCGCTAATCCTMACAGAAACTCTCAGTTGTTTACTACAACTCTCCTCTATCAAACTTCCACCACTCATAGTGAATAAGKCTAAAAAGTGGCTGGAAAGTAGGAGAAAAATAAGCTCTTTGYTCGACGTTTTCGTGCAAAACAACATCGTGACTTGCACGAGCGARCCATGAACTGAACAGTCGATACGTCTGACCAGAGGGACGTTACCATGGGGATTTAAGGTGGCTCGCAAGGAATGGATATCAACATTTATGAATCATTCATTTTTTATTGAGATTTCGTACTGAAAATTTGATTCAATTTCACCAACAAGACTCTACAGTGTAGTGAAATGGAAGCTTATGAGTTTGCTTCACACTGTTTTTGCATCATTTAATATAATTTTTGTTGAAAAATTTTAATGAAAAATGTCTTTTTTTCAATTGTCGCTTTTCACATTTCTTCTTGTTCATCTAGTAATAGACTAAGACATTTATTAATATTGGTAAAAGTCTAATAAATCAGTCTATTATGCATTATYAATTGTACAATAAAATGGTATTAATGGTAATGGGGTATTATAAAGGTGATTTTGATGATGATATTTTTTATGTTCTTGACTGAAGATGCATCCTTTTTGCTAATTCTGTAAATTCAGAAAAGCCTGCATTTCCCTTGCTTTGTACATAATCCAAGGTACGGACCTAAAACAAAACATTAAATCAACTTATTAAGCCACTTGCTTGTCCTAGTATTTAAGGTGGCTCAACTCCATTGCAAGGACAGGTTCATCCCAACCCCCTAAACCAAAAAATGTTTTCTTTTTACAAAAAGATTTTTGCATAAAAACTCATATTGGTGGTTTAAACCTCCTAGCCAAAATCCTGGATTCCTCCTGCATTGGCAGAGARCATGTCGAACTCCCCTATGCTTTTTTATATTCTTTTTCCAACCCCCTTGTCCATTTCCAACCCCTTCACAACTCTACTCCTTTCTCTCTTCAAAGTTTCCACAGGAAACCCAAGGCTTCTTCCTTCTGTTTTTTTTTTCATTCAGGAAAATCTGTCGGTAGGGAATATATGATGCTTATCTCCCTTTTTCCCCCCAACCCCCTTGTGTATTTCCAACCCCTTCAAAAGCCTCTTCTTCTCTCTGTTCAAAGTTTACGAGGAAACCCAAGTCTTTTTGCTTACCTCCATTCAGGAAACTCCGTCAGCATCCTTACTTTTCCCTTCTCCCTTCTCCCACCCCCTTGCCTGTTTTCAACCCCTTWAACACACTCTCCTCTTCTCTCTGTACAAAGTTTCCACAGTAAATGCAAGGCTTCTCTCTCTGCTCATCTCCTTTCCAACCCAGCATGTACCCCTTTAAAAAAGTTACTTCAAATAAATATYGTTATTCCAACTCAGTGGTTATACTACCATGTATTTGGTCCCACCAAATCCATGTTTCTGAGCAAGATTCCATAGATTGATAGCTAAAGCAGCAAGGTCAGGATTGCCGATRTCAGCATGGCAGATCATGCGATTGAAGAATCCTAGAGCAATGGCTGCCTGTCGCTTCAGATCCTGAAACAGAAATTATTATATAATATATTACTTATATATAATATATATTAATATATTAATTCAATGGAAATATCTGATTTAATAGACATCTTTAGCTTGGGCAATATGTTTTCCCATTTTTCAGATTCTGTTTGAGTTGAATCCATATTCATGTGTCTTCTCATATRGAATCATTAAACAAAGAAATATTATTCTAGAGAATGACACATGGTCTGAAATGGGAAAACATTAYGCTCAAGCTAAAGAGATCTATTGTTTTCATTTTTGCTGGTACACAAAATCTCCAAAACAAAGTATTGCATTATAAATAATAATAAATAATAATAGGAGGTTCTTATATAGCGCATTTATACAATGTCTCAATGCGCTTTACATTTATGACCAGTGGAGGACTTTACGGGCTGCATATTAAAGTGCTATCCGTATTATTTTGTTCTTCTCTATCCTTCTCGTCTCTAGTGATAGAAGAAGTGCATGTTCCGAAAAAATGGTGGAAAGATGGTGGCAAAGTATTAGCTTGCTAATGAGAATGCATTATCTTCCATTCTCCATGCAAGGTAAGGCATTAGTTATCGTGAAAAAATAAATGATGAGAAGGTATATTTGATAGTTTTTTTGCATTGTCATTAGACTAAGTAACGTACCTCATGGGAGGTAAGTGTCTTTAGGTGGTCAAACACGGTCTGGATGAGGGTACTGACTATCTTACAGACCTCTGTTACAAACTTCACGTCACATCCATATAACTTGTCGTTGGAATCCACTGAAATAAGGAAGAGTTCATAAATACAAGGGTTCAACCCAGGTGGGGGAATTAACCGAGCGGACGAACCTAACAACCGATCGATCGAATGAAGGAAGGACCGGAAAAGGAAAGAAACAATAAAAGGGAGAAATGAAGGGAATGTAAGAAAGACAGGGAGGAAGAGGAAGGTAGAAAGAAACGAATGAAAAACTAGCGTTGATGTCAAGAATGGGCCAAAAAAAAAAAGACTTGTAAAAAATAACCATAATAGAATTTACCTTTATCGATGTGATATAGATAACTTTCCTGTAAAAAAAGAGAAAAATTAGTTGATAATGATAGAGCGCAATTTTCGTATGCCTGCCTTGCCGYGACCGTGATATTTTCTAGAATTTTGATTGGCTGATKTTTTTCTCGCGCAATKTGATTGGTCTGGCAGTTTCGTGACATTGGCAGTGCTCGTCAATACCCTCTTACCTGACAAAGGGCTGACAGAAGCCCAACAGCATTCAAGTATAACGTCATCTTCGCATCACTATTGAGTTCCCACGTGTACTCCTGGATAACGTTAAGTAGACCACGTGCTAGATACAGCACTCCCTGATCGGGGGAATCCTACAACGACGAAAGATAATCAAGGTAGTCAATAAGAACTATGGGTCAATGCAATGATTTTATCCGCTAGTTCCCATACGAGATAAATGCAGCGATGCGCAAGATCAGCGTAGGGGTTTCCTAGTTTGATTATCAGGCTATTCCTTTACGTCCTGTTTTACACTATTGTTTTCGGCCATTGAATTGTTCGCTGGTTCTTCTTTCGCCAATCCTTCATTACTTTTGTTCTTTCTTTCTCTTGTCATCCTTCTCTATTCTTATGGAATAAGTTCTTTCTTGCTTCCTCCTCTCCTCTCCTCTCCTCTCCTCTCGCTCGTTCCCTCCTTCCTACCTTTTTTTCTTCTTTTATCCTCCTTTCTTTTTTCCTTTTTTTCATGCCCTTCTTTCATCCCCGGTTTCACTTATATCCTTACCCYCTATTTTTAAGGACATATCTTATAAAATTTTAGATAAGAGCAAACAAACTATTAAATATTTCAAAGACTTTCAGGTCTATTGCTTGCTCACCGGTACGACTAAAAGAGTTGACAGGAACTGGTTCAGGAAGTTCAGAAGGTAAGGTTCAGATGCTTTTGTCTTGTGATCCACCTCTGCCATGGGGAAAAAAACTTTGAATGTCAAGAAGTAGAATGTCAAGAAGTAAAAATCAAAAAAAACCAAGGTAGCCCACCATATGCCAAGTAAAAGCCTTCTTAAAAAACCTTTAAATCTAATCGATAGCCTGAAGCAAGGGCTAGGCTGATCAWKGTTAKGCTAACTCACAGGTCGAATTGGAATTAAGTATGATGTTTTTTGCGTAGTGAGGAAAACCGGAGAACCCGGAGAAAAACCCTGGCATCAAAGGAGAGTCCTTACAAACTCTACTTTACACACTTGATACCTAGTCCACYAATCAAACCCGAGACTCCAGACGTGATAGGCGAATGCACTTCCACTATGCCACCCTTGATTCTCCCTCTGGCTCGGGTTACAAAACAAACGAATTCTCCATAGTATTAKCCATTCTGAGGTTGAGGGGAAAACTGGRKCGAGTTKSCAYTGCAGTGCATTGTGGGGCTGTTTTAGGGGACAAAATAGMYGCCATCTTGGAAATATGTTCAGAAAAACAGCCCCACAATGCACTGCAATGCAAACTCGCTCCARTTTTCCCCTCAACCTCAGAATGGCTAACATACAGTGGTACTCTTGCAGTCATTTCAGTATTACCTATAGTCTTCGGTACCTCTGGTATAAGACTTATTGCTGCTTTAAAGAAAGCATCCGCTAAAAGGGAATGAAAGTAAACAGTCAGGTTCCACTGTACATTATAAAGCACTCGGATACTCGGTTCAATTATTGTACGCAACGGCACGAAACTGTACCTCTGAAAATTTTACGCGCAACAAGTTTCAACRTGTGGAGACGAGTTACACTGTTGCTGACAATTGATGGTTTAGACTATAACCCATTAACGAGCTCGCAAAAGTCTTTTGTTTTTCACGCTATATCCACAAGTTTATCAAAAAGGTCRCCTCCCTCGATACCCCACTGAGTGCGTACTTGTCATTATCAGTTTATCGTGTATAGTATGTACCTTGACTAAGAGCCTGGTTTGCCATGGCTACCTKTCCAGAGAACAGGTACAACTGTAGCCGAGTAAAAAAATCCATGATGGATGGAATGGTGATAAAACTGTATGCAGCACAGGCCTGTAAAACCACACAAAAGAAATGAATGAATGAATGGGTGGGTGCATGGATGGATGGATGGCTTCCCATCGTATTTAAGTAATTCATCCAAATAGACCCTTTGCAGTACGTCGGAATGCAGCTCAATTTGGAGGATATAACAATGAGTTTGCAATTCTTAGGAGATTGAAATTCTTTTCTATTAGCCTCCAAATTGAGCTGCTTTGGCTTCACATGCAAGGGGTCTATAGCAACGCTAGCTACGGCCACGGTAGAACTACGATTGTGCCGTATTGTGTTCCACGCATACGAAACCGCTCTACCTATCAAAACGTTTGCCGTGTACCAGATGTAATTGTTGCTCACATCTCGCTATGAAGCTAGCTTCTTAACAGTGGCATCGCTACTTACCCTGACAAAAGAAGCAGTCTTTCTTGAATGATTTCCATTGACTATAGCTCTTGTTTGTAAAGCCAGCAAGTTAACTCTCTATCAGCAGACATAAAGATTAATATTGACTATGTCAGTAGAAAATGTTTTTTACCACAAATGTATTTTTTAGCTACGCCTCGTGAGTACATAACATCTTGAGCAACTGTTGACGTCATATTGTAGTAAGTACGAAGATCTACCACCCTAAACCATTGGAAATTTGTTAAGTTTAAGGTACCAAGTGGTTCTTCTTACCTGGACAAGCATGACAAGGACAGGATCAAGGTTGGAGAAGGATGCTCGAGCATCAACATAGAAATCCAACTGCTTCTCGAAATCACGACCGAAGTCAGCCTTCAGAAAGAATAAATTCCAGTGATGACTTGATAGAAATTAATGGCGATGATGACACTGATGGTAATGGTGATGATGATGATGATGATGATGGTGATGGCGATGATGATGGTGATGGTGGCGATGACTGATGATGGTGGTGATAACACTTATCATGATGAGGTTAATGTTTGATGGTGATGACGAAGGCGATGGCAATGATGATGGTAATAGTGATCAATGACTGATGGTGGCGATGACTGATGATGGTGAAGATGAGACTGATCATGTTGATGAGGTTAATGTTTGATGGTAATATAATCAATAATGATGGTAATGGCGATTGTAATGATGGTGATCGACGATGGTGATGRMGATGATGATGGTTATGGTGATCGATAATGGAAATAGTAATAATAAAAATAACCAATTTTATTCGCATTATAGCGCAAAAAAAGAGGTAAGAGGATATTCCTACCAAAAATATATCCTAAGATCGAACTGGAATTTACAATTTGATTTTTGCGTTGGGAGGAAAATCACAGAGCCCATAGAAAAACCCTCGAAGCACAGGAGAGAACCAACAAACAACTCTACTCACATACAACACCGAGCCCAGCGGGACTTGAGCCYGGGTCGCATTGGTGAGAGGAGACTCATTTGCTGCACAAGCCACAKGTGCTTCGCTGTAATGGAGATCGCGATGGCGATAACAAGTGGATAGTAACACCCATACCTTTCTGAGATAACCACTGATAAGGTTCCCAATGACTCTCCTTTCGTCCTCCAGAGTTAGGGCACTAAGATTAAATGAAGAAATATAGTAAAATGTTGTCTGTCTGATAAAGGTACTGAAAGCAGGAGCTTGTGCTTAGAGAACTTCGATCATCTTGCAGGATTAAGATGGCACTGTCAGAAATGAATTCCTTTTAGTTTTCTAATGCCTTCCAGTCTCAGAGTCGTAAAGCAAAGTCTGTACTGATGTCCTTGCTACCAACAGGATTTTTAGACAATAACCAGGCAACATTGTCTCTTGTTAGAGCCCAAACTTACTTGACAGAATCATGAAGTGTCTTGCAGACAAACATCAAGGCATTCTGCACCACTGGGTCATTGGTTGGTTCAAGCTGGTACCTAAAATAAACCGCATATTGATATTCTATAGAGCATATTGGTATCAAGGGYGGATCCAGGGGGAGGGTCGGGGGTCGCGACCCCCCTGTCATTCCTGAGGTCGAATGGGCTTCTTGTGGTAAAAATGCGACTGGGATTCCTTCGCCCACAAAATTTACCCCTGAGACCCCCCTTCAAAAAAAAAACCCTGGATCCGCCCTTGGGTATTCACAACTCTTATACAATGATTAGAAATACCAAACCCTGAAACAATCGGCTCTGGTTGATCAAGGTTAACCCAGAGATCGAATTTAAATTTAGCTTGTTAGGTTTTRCGGAGGAAGGAAAACCTGAGAACCCGGAAACAAACCCTCCAATTAAGGGAGAGAACTAGAGACTCCAGAGGTGATGATTCCCTAGATAACAAGTTGGCTAGCATTTGATTGTCTTATTTAAGGGGCAAGCGAMGTTATGCAAGGTATTGATAGGCGATAATAATAATGGAAGATAGGCGATACTCCTAGCATCTTTCTATGGATAGTTACATGTGTTGCAAAACAGCAACTGTAAGGGCAGGACAAATCTATTATTGCACTAACTAGTACAGTACTTACTTTACAAATGCTTCCATAATCATCTTATATGCATCCACTTTGACTGACTCTTTCTGGAACATGTCAAGGAATGGCAAAAATTTGTCCTTTAAGAGAAAAAAACAAAATAATGTTTTCATATTTAGCGTAAATTTCGTACTGTCTAAAATCGAAAATCTGGTTGAAACAGCACAGCTTCTTGGCTGATCTAAGTCACAGCAAGGAYGTTTCACAGATCGAACCCTGAAACAACCTCTGGGCTGATCAARGTCAGGGCACGGCTAAATCACAGATCGAAATGGAATTTAACTCATAAGGTTTTACGGAGGAATCTAAATTGCATCAATCAATTTGGCTGTTTGCGCTTAAATAATGTCCTCGTATTCAGGGGGGGGCATGTCTATCCCCTACACCCGCGACTGTTTTAGAGGTAACAATAMAGTATGATGGATGACACGAGAATTGGTGGCAGATTGTTAAAGGCATATGACTACCATACTTATTGATAAGTAGCTATCTTTAATAAATACTACACACATTACCATAGAAACGAGGGCCGAGAAATCRTGCATATGTGAAAGAAGCTTTGAGATAACCGTCAGCAACTGAAAAACAAAGAAAACACAACGGTGTTGGCATCAATCAGCTGAATAAATCTCATAATTAATCTCATCAGCCTTCAAGGGACAAACATTCCATCCCCCTCCCCCTCCCCCTCCACAATCATCCATGTGCAACAGGGATGGCGGAGCAGTTTTTTGATTGGAGGGGCTCAATAGTGACATTGTATGGCAAGGTGGGGGGGGGGGGGGGGGGGGCTGAGTTTAGTGAAAATGTATTAAATCACGAAAAGTGGGGGGCTAAAGTCCTCCCAGACCCCCGGTTCCGCCGTCCCTATGTAATAGTCCCCTTCACAGTTCCCTGCGCCATCTTGAAAGGTAGTTGGGCCTTTGCATCGCAGCGAGATGAACGGTGAGCTGGCAATGATAGAAACATCTGAATAATTGTCTAAGGTGTTAAAAAAGGTCTCTATCATTGCAAGCTTACCATTCGTCTTGCTTCGATGCRAAGGCATGGCTACCTTTSAAGATGGCATAGGGAACTGTGAAGGGGACTATTCCATGATAGAAACTTGCCATTCAGCTTGGAAATATTCCACACGAGACCGGAAGTGACGTTTATTGTTTGCAACATATATGCCTGGTTTTGTAACTGTATCCTACCTGAGGGTAAAAGTGTTCAAATGCTCTGTCTGGTGTCATGTGTTTCATGATGTCACCCAGCATYGTGTTGACTTCACGTTTCTGAATTCAAAAATCATTAACAATAATTAGCTATAGATCATTTTTTTAAAAAGATTGTAGAATGTGGTGAGTGATGWTAAGTGTGGCTATAGACCCTTTTACCTTGRGTGTAATGTTTTGCCYATTTCAGGCCACRTGTCATTCCCTAGAGTATCATTTCTTTGTTTKACKGTTGCACATGAGGAGACACATGAATATGGATACCACTCAAACAAAGAATCATATTCTTAAGAGAATAATAGGTGGACATTACGCRGGTGTAATAATCTGATATTTACCGTGAAATGTTTGCAAGGATACTCCACCCATATTTCTGCACAGCTGATGTATTCCTGCGGTAACAACACATGATAAGACATGACAAATAAAAGATGTTTGTAGTCAAGCTAGGCCACAAGTCAATGCACTGTATTACTGAACTATCTCAGAAAAGATAGAAGAGGTCTATTGATCCATAAAAGTTACAAAAAGGAATACTATGTTCAGACATGTAGGCAAGGTATTTCTGCTGGGCACAGTTGCACAAAGGGAAAGTGCTATCTGATGGATAAATCCTAATCCAGTGGATGAGTCGAGGCTGTTATCCAATAAATTTATCCACTGGATAAGATTTATCTATCAGGGCCTGGTTGTACGAAGCCTGGATAGCACTATCCGGTGGATAAGTCCTTATCCAGTGAATAAGTTGATACTGTTTTCCAATAAATTTATCCTCTGAATAAGATCTATCCATCAGATAGCGCTATCCAGGCTTCGTACAACCGGGCCCAGATAGTGCTATCCACTCTTCGTACAACCGGCCCCTTGATTCATGACTTGACTGATATGGAGGCCTTCTAAAGGGACTAGGGGTTTGAACCTAATGAGAACTCTGGAAAAAAGTGAATTTTCCTGTCTCACCTCTGGATTCTTCAGCTTCATGACAACCTTCCAGACCTTCAGGGAAAAAATAATCGAAAAAAAGGGAAAGACTTATTAGTAGAACAGAAGTCCCCCCCTGGATAAACCAGGGGGGATTAAGCATGCTTATAGTGTCCGTACTCTAGTTCCTGGAAGTGGTTGTCAAAGTTACTGCGATTTTCAACAATACATGAAAAGTATTTTTTCTCCTGGATCAACCAAATCAATGACCAACTTTACTATTCCCAACATAATGATCACAACTGAGATRATAAAACATGAATATTCTACACAAAATCATGGGTAAACCTTTCAGCGAGTAATATAAAATTGAAAACTGAAGTAAAAAATCATGAAGAACTCAATTTTAATTAAATGATTGTACTGTAACTAAAGAGTGTGGACCAGTGTGTACTGGTAGCAGATTAATTACCTCACTAAGTATTGCTAGTTTTTGGTCCTCTGGTGGGTCACAGATGATTAGATTGAGACCAAGAGAACGATACAGATGATGCTAGTGGGGGGAAAAAGGATAAAAAGTTTTAGTGTTGGAAGCATCAAGATTAGGTTCCTTTGGCAGAAAAGATCACTGATCTGCCTTGCTTACTTACACAAGATCTCTTCAGGTACTTGTCAGATGCACATTGCTTTAACTTGTTATTACATCCAAAATATTTACAAATAGGAAAACATACCTTAGGAAAACCAGCTTCTTCACAGTTTCTTATGAGTTCAGTAAACTGGAGTGCCCTGTAATGGAACAAGAATATGATTTCAACTCAACAAAATCTTGTATAAAATTTCTTAATGATTCCACTGGAATTCATCACTTTTAACAGTGGAAAAAATGAAAACTTTATCAAATCCYGATCAAATTGGAATTTAGCTTAATAGATTTTGCAGAGGGAGGAAACTAAAAAACCCAGCAATAAAACCTCAAACAAGAGAGAGACCTAACAAAGGTTAGTGACGTCACTTATCAGAATGATCATTGATTACCTTTCAGAGATAAACTGGGGCTTGAATGCCAAGATGACTGAGTTTAACAGCAGAGCACTATATAAACAAGATTATGGTCATTTGATATAACACGAGGAATTATTTATAACTGGTGATGGTGATGGTGATG